ACTAGTTCAGCTGAAGCCAACAATTCTCAAAGAAATCGCCGAAAGGTAAGTCGTCGATTGATTAAAAAAAAATGTCACACATATTTAACTATATGCCCCAACTGTAGCACTATTGTTTGTTTACTATATAGATTCTTAGAGACATGATCGTTGCTAGTACTGGTGAGTCCAGAGAATCCATGGGACCTGTTAGAGAGCTTGAGAATGAAGACAGGTTACCTGTAGACAATGTAGAGGAGCCTGATACAGTAATCAGTGCCGAGGATTGTTCTTCAGCGCGGGATTTCAGCACCCAGACTCCAGATTTCTTGGCTTGCAAAAAGCTCAAAGAAGAAAAACGATTGCTACATAATAAATGCATCGATTTAAAAAACAAGATCGATTCTCTGGCAAAGGAACCCACTCCAAAATCGTCCTGTGGTATTCAGTGTAATTTAACACAGCTAAACGACCATGAAGAAGGTCTTGGAGAAAGGATCGGAGAGAGTTTGGAACAACAAGACGATGAGTATGTAAATATGGAAGTGGAGGAAGATGATGAGGACACAGTTGACTATGATATTACAGAGGAAGAGCCTGAGAGTATCCCTGATGACGTTGACTATCACCCCTACACAGATACAGAGACAGAAACTGAAACGGAGGATGAAGAGCATATGACAGGAAAGAGGTATGGAATAAATTTGATCTTTATAGTTTAAATCTTGACAAAAAATAATTTGTTTTGCTGTTGTTTTGTCTTACAGATTCAATTCAAGCAACTATAGCACTAGAACACTGAGCCTAAGTACATTGTCTTCTTGTCCAAGCTGTTATTGTTGTTCTCCTTCTGCCACTCCTGCAAGACTGAAAACCCTGTTGTGACATACCGAGAAGTAGGGACTATGGTCAATATCACAACTAAATGCAAAACCCCAGTTGCCCAAAGAAGGAAAATACTTGGAGAAGCCAACCCAACATGACAGGCACTAAGATTCCAGCTGGTAATATTCTCCTGTGCTTTGCTGTCCTAACTGCAGGTGCTTCTGCAAGCAAGGTTTTCAGACTATTTCAGAACATGGGAGTTGCCTGCATCACACTTACTACTTTCTTTAAACATCAAGGGGTACGCAATGTTTACA